AGCAGAGGTTAGTCAACCCTTTATGTGCCTTCTGACGTAAAAAGGGAGTGTATCTGTGCAGCTCTGTGCACTCTCTTTTGAAGCTCATTATCATAATTTGAAAAATTCCACCTCTACGCAGAATCACTCATGGGCTTTGCAGCTTTCTTTGTGCTGTTGGTGTCTCTCCTGGGACAAGGATGGTACTTACTACTTCAGTGCAGCTACTGGGTAGGCAGAGTGAACATGGCTGTGAATAAGTGAGACTGGCATTGCCTGGAGTGCTGGATACAGAAGGTGCACAGAATTTTACATGTCATTGAAAAAGGAGGAGGGGCTTGGCAAGGCAGGCCCAGAATTTAGACCCTGACATGTCTTCCCAAGGATATTCACTAGCTCATTGCTTCATCCTAGTTTTCTCAGTGGAATGTTAATATACACGATTGCCTCCCCTTCCAAGCTGCAGTGCTGGGAATTTGCCTGTTGGCTATGGCAGGAGCGATGGAGAGGTGCCTCTTCCCCCTGGCTGTGTTGTGTGGCGTGTTACAGGGCTGTGTGACATTATGTGACTTTCTCTATGGATCTGCTCTCAGCAGAGAGTGCTGTGGAGTAAGTAATCTTGTGGTATTGTGGATCCAAAGCAGGACAGCATTTGACTACTTAGAATCAAATACTAAAAAAAAGTATTCAGAGGCCTTCTTTGTATTTCTGCAAGGAACCACATTCCTGAATTGGGTTCCAAGAATTAAAAAGAAAAAAAAATGTAGGTGTGCAATACATCACATTTACTAATGCATTAGAGATATTTATATGAATAATTAAAACACCATTTAGAATTGCCACAGTAATAGAACAAAATGTGTTTTGTCACTTTTCTATTTCTTTTTGTTGATTGATCAATTTATTGATTTCCTCCATAACTTTAGAGTAGGTATCCTAAACATTACAGTAAATTAGCAAGACTGTGCTTTTTAATAACCTGTTGAAAGCATTAATGGAATGAAAAGAAGTCAGAATTTGGTAATAAAGATCTGAAACCAGAGACCTAGAACACATATCTAGTATTTTGCATCAATTAGATTTGTAAAATATTAGAGGCTTTGTTTGTACTACCTGTTAATTAAAAAGAAAAAAGTATTTTATATTCATTATGAATAGCCTAATAGCACATCAGAAAAAAAGGGAAAAATTAGGCAACAAGCTACCTTTGTATTTGACTTTCTATTGTATTTTTAGTTAACTTTAGGCTGGTTGGAGTCAGCGGGAACATGTGTGGGATGGAGGACAGAACTTCACTGAAAAAGAGACCACAGTCCTTCTGAATCCATTTGTGAAAAAGTAGTAAACTTCTGAAACTCAGGTCTGGAAAACAGACAGGTGTTATCCAAGATACCAAGAATTAGGAATTATATTAAATTTCACACACATATGCACACAAAATATTTGTGCATTTCTTAGCTCAGCTTTCTTCTGGGTTATATCTTTGATTTTTCCTTACTATTTGCATTTAGTTTGTTAACCTGTTTTGTCGTATTTTTCCTACCTTCAAAAAAACCTACTTTATGAATATGCTAGAATGTGCACTTAACAAGAACCCTTAGCAATTTTTAAGTCAGTATTGTTCTCATCCCTTTTCAGGGCTGTGTTTCTCTGTTTTCCTGCTACAATGGACAATTTGTTGTAACACTTGGATTAGCATCATATGTTTTGTTTGGTACTGTTGTTCTAGCCAAGCTTCCAATATGTGTTTTCATATGCATTTTTGGGGGCAGTTTTGGATGCCATCAGAGGCTTGTGCTTCTGCCTCCCCATCGACTGGTGATGTCCAGACTTCAGTAAGGAGAAACAGGTGATCTGGCAATAGTCACAGTCTGTTAGTCCAGGTTTTAGCTCTGGTTTGAGGGAATGGTTACTGCTCCAGGCCTCATTTGAGGTGCCTTACTCTGTTGCCCTAATACAAAGTAAGTGACAGAAACTGTCTGCTGCACAAGGGGATATAGAATATCTCAATATTAATGAAATATTGAGATATGAAATCATGCATGAAATCATTCCACTTACTTGGTTGTCATACTGACAGTGACTATAAATGAAGGATATTAGAGGGAGAAAAAATCATACTATTTCAGTTAGTTTATTTTGTGCCTACCTGACAGCCCTCTGTGTATAGTCAGTTACATGATTTCTTGGGATAGCCAGATTTTTCTTTATATGTGTGTGGCTCTTTCAGCTACAGGGGAAAGAGAATACTTAATGATCAGAAAATGTGTCTGTAAAGCCAGGAACAATTGTCTGCAACCTCAAGAAGATATCTAAGAGCATGTAACTGCTTTTTAGTCATCTTCCAAAAGCAGCTCAGTTCCGGAATAACAGTGCTCTCTTGGGCTATATTTCAAGATGATTATTCTCAGACAGGAATTATAAGGATCGATAGCAAACCCAATGCATCCTTTCTTTTCATGACAGATTCGCTGATTGCCACCAGAGCAGTAATAATGCACTGGTCAGCATAAACACCAGAAGCTGTAATCATGGATGTTTGTCTCCATCTTAACATGTGTTTAAGGTTACACAATGTGTTGTGATGGGTTTGCACCCACAGGTCATGAGGAAGGAGAATTGTTTGATCTGTTCACCTTCGCTTCTCTTTTGCTCTTATGCTTCCTTGAGTTGGGACCGGGGTGTTTGGTGTCTCTCTGGGGACAGAGCAGGGCAGAGAGAGCATGCCTAGCCAAAGAGATAAGAGAAAGGTCATTTTGAGATACCAGTGGTTTACATGCTGGGGGTTTTCTTTGCGTGTCCTATTTAGGAAGTAGTAATGACCAAGACTTTCCGTGGGTGTGTGTTAGGAGCCCTTCTGCATTGGGGTTTTGGTGGAGCTGAGTGCAGGGTTGCTTTTCCTCTGTGGAAGGCCCTGTGCTTTTGCTGTGTTTTGGCAGCTTGACATGGAAGTGGCTAGGTAACCTGTGTGTATGAGTTTCCGTTTTTCTTTTTTTTTTTTGTTTTGTATGTGCCATCCTCAATTTACTGAAGCTCTGTGACTTTTTAACCTGCTGTCTATGGGCTGTTGTTTTACAAGCTCATTAAGGTGGTGAGGATAGCGATGGCAGCGATCCTGCCCCCCTCATGGGTGCTCATTAGATGGCTTCCTTGTGCTGACATAAGCGTTGTGTAGTCATGCTCTGAGCTGGGTCTGGGAAAGGATCCAAGTTAAAAATAATCCCTGAAAAAAAAAAAAAAGAAAGTTTCAGCAGGATCTGTTCCTGGATCTAGCTCGCCATCATTCTCATGCTGGCCTGGAAAGTGTGAGGGTTTGTACTGGCACAGAGGGAGGTGAGGAGGAGCAGCTGGGGCAAGGTGGTCAGGGGTGTACTGCTGGCAGCAGGGATGCTGCCTGCTTGTATGGTGTCAGCCTGAGGAAATGGGGCTCTTGTGAATGTGCTGCCTGTCTTTCCTTAAGTGCATTGGCCCAGTAACTTCCAAAGTTGTGAGGCAGTTTTGGCCAAATTTGCCTGAAAAGCAGTGTTGAAGGGGTGAAGGTCCCCTGAGCTCAGCAATTTATGGTGTTTGGTAGGCAGACCCAGATCAACTCTCCCCATTTGATGAAAAGTTGTCATCTGGGGCTCAGCTGCCGACCTCGTCAGGCCTCCTCTTGTGGCACAGTCCCACTGTCCCAGTTTGGGTTGAATTGTGCCCGTTTTGCCATGGGGCTGACTTGAATAGCTGATGGGAGGAGAACAAAGTGCTGTCTGCGAGTGGCTCTTCATTTCAAGGGGCAGGGATGGTTCATCTCGGGGATCCTGACTGCACAGGGGTGCACATGTCCAGTTGTGGGGTGGTTTTTAAATTTGGTTTTTGTTAGTTTTTTTATTTTTTGTTTGTTTTTTTTTTTTTTAATTCTGCCTAGGTATCAAAATTCCTGGAAGCTGGGATAGTTGGGAGGCAAGACTCCCTTCAGTTTTCTCAGTGTGACTGACTGTTTAACCCTGAGGACAAATAAGTCTTTCTAGCTGCACCTCTGCATAGCTTCCCTTGACTACCAGGCAGCATCTTTGTGCCCTACTCGGTCCAGGTTCTGTCCCCATAAGGCTGTGCTCTTCTGTGGTTGTGCCTGGGTTTCACCTGCCCAGCCTGCCTTGCTGCACGGGCAGCCTTGCTCTACACCACTGCTGAGGAGCTAAGATGAAGACACATTGTGGTTTCCTGCTGTTTTGCTTTGTAACCAGTCCACTGGTAAATATAGCTTGTGTGTGGTTATAAATTCATTCTCTCATTATGGGTGGTTGTTGTGCAATAATTATGTAGAAATTACAACCGAGAATTGTTGTGGATTTTTTTTTGTTTTGTTTATTTATTTCTTTTTGTGCTTGATATGCCCTGCAGTGAGAAGAACAGCCTTTAGTTTCTGCCCTAACAAAGACAAGGCCACAAGCAGGTGTCAGCCTTTGGCATGGACACAGGCACTGTCTAGCAGGCTGCTGACTTTTGTGTGGCTCTCTTTGTGTGGCGAGATGAGCAAGGAAAATTGGGACCTGCGCTATTTGGACTCTCTTTTATTTTTCCTTGCTTTACTCTGTGGGTAGACAGGCTGTCCTTCCCTGCAGGTTTGGTACTGTACACGTGTTTATTCTGAAATGAACCCATCCTGTCTCCTTGGAGGTGTTGGCTGTACATTTCCCAAAGCCCTGTATCTCTGGCAGCTTCCAGCCCTGCTCTCTGGCCAGTGCTCTGAGTCCTGGGCTGAGGCTGTAGGGCTCGGGCTCTCTGCCCCATGCAGAAATGCTCAGGTTCTGCTCCCCAGAGGTCTTCCCTTCATATGTGGGCCCCCTCCCGTGATCCCTCCTTCTGTTCAGATGTGGAATTAAAATAAGTCTGGGGGTTTTGTTGATTTTTTTTCCCTCCTGTTTCTTTATTTAAAATTCCACTCAAGCAGATCCAGAACAGCGCTTGTCCCTGCTGCGTTCTCATTTTCCTCTCATCCCTCCTTTAATTTTACATTATTCCCTGCACTGTGTTTGCAGGCCATATGTGTCCTTTGAACTCTGAAGAAGCTGTGCCAAAAGGAAGCCTTCTTCTCCTCCCCTCCTCCCATCGCGGAGCCGCTCTTAGATAATTGCAATTAGTAGACAATGCGGAGCGAACCCAAATGTGAAGTCCATGGGTGAGTGCCTGCACATTTCCTGAGAGCTTCAGAAACGCTTGCGCTCGGTCTCTGCTTTAGCCCTTTAACCCCGCAGCAGCTCCCCGAGTCCCCAACAGCTCTGGGAGGTGTTTGCAACCCGCGTTTTCCCTGCGGCGTTCCTGGCGGGGCACAGCCGCTGCTGGAGCCTTGGCACGGCGCCGCGGCTCTGAGGGAGGTGGAGCCGCCCGCCCGTCCTTGCGTCACGGCGCGGGGAACAAGTGGCTGCGGCAGCCCGGGCTCTGGGAGGGAGGGGGACAAACCCTTCTCCCGGGGAGAGCTGGGCAGAGTGGGGAAAGTAAAACTCACCCCGTTAAACAAGAAGAAATGGGAGAATTCCTTCTTGTCTTCCATAAGGTGCGGGGCAGAGGGACGTGCTGCTGCTCCGGACCTTACCATCAGCTACTGGCTCGGCCGGAGCGGTCGCTGACAGACTGGGCTTCGGCGTTTGTGAAAAACGCCAATCACTTGGGTTCTTTTAATTTTAAAAGTTTAATAGTAATAAAATGGTTATAAAAATAGTAATACAATTAGAGTAATAATAATTTGGATAATTTGAATTAGGACAATATGAGACAATAGAACCCAAGAGTTACAGACGTCTGGGTACGTTTTTCTGGGCAGCACGAGCCCGAAAAAGGACCCCCGTTAACAAAGGATTAACCCTTAAAAACAATACTCTGTTGCATATTCATACACTTCATACACGATGCATAAATTCCATTCAAATACAGGATTCTGTCTGGTCATCATCAGCTTCTTCCTCTGGATCCTAACAGCGCCTTCGAGGCGGGAAGAAGTTCGTTTCTTCTGATAAGAGGGCAGTAAATTCTCTTTCACTGAAAGATTTAGGTGTCCTGGGGCTGCTATCTCGCTGCAAGTCCTTTCTGTAAAAAAAAGTATCCTACATAGCATAGTTTCTATTTTAACACTTTTTATAACCTAAAACTATATTTAACACACTACTTAAGAGTGTGTTAAATATAGTTTTAACACAACACATATAATATTCATTTTAATATCTGCGAAAAGCCAATTATATGATACGCATTTTTCACAGCGTTCAAAGGGGATGTCCTCCGTGGAGAAGGGTGACGAGTGCCTTTTGAGTCCCTTCCCCCTTTAGCGTCTGAGAAGTGTCTTCTGTGTTAAACCAGGTTTCTGACCTCATTTCTCAAAGGAGTTTTAAATGAGAAGAAATAGGAGTATTAATTAGTGCCCCGTTAAGTACTTGTAGTCAAGTATGATAATTTTCTTGAAAGGATAATGTATTAGATGAATAAAAATACTCTCCATTAAAAAATGAATACAAAGTCATTTTAAACCACAAAGATTATTGTACATTTCTGAAAAATTAATGTGATTAAAGCAAAATTTATTTAATAAATTAAAAAGACCCTGTAAGGCTGTTTAACTTGTTGGTCTCATATTAATTATTTTCAAATCTATTGCTAGAGAACTTCGACCTTACCTGCAGGGATGGGAAGTGATTTCTTCCCTCACTTCATTTTTTGGCTTGTAATTATTAGGTCTGAGTTGTGGGTGTGGTAATTTTCCCTTGTTTTGTGGGGGCTTTTTTGTTTGTTTGTTTGTGTTTTGTGTTTTTGTTTGTTTGTTTTAGTGTTGTGTGGGTTTTTTTGCTGTTCTGATGTCTTTCTCAGAGATTGGCCACAGCAAAAAACCAGACCCTAGACAGTGATCAGAAATTATATGGAGATTTCCTTGATGGGTTTAGTTAATATAACCTACTCATGTGCTGCTGTCTGGATTTGGAGCTGACAAAACTCCAAATTGCTGAATATTTTCAAGGATGTTTCCTCCTGTTTGATTTGCCTGTGATGTGATATAGATTGTGTCTGCTGGGATTACATAGACTTCCTTCAGCTACTTCATTTGACTTCACACAAGTTATATTAATTTTTTCTACACACAGTTTGCCCCATAGATTATTTTTTGTTTAGGAGCTTCCTTAGCTCTCTACTGAGCCTTTACATATTCAGCTACCTAACGAGAATTGCTCTGTATGCTGTGGAAGACAATAAAGTATATGGTTTGAGCTGGATATATAACCCAGATTTATGGATTTGCCTGGGCATTTATGAAATTTATCTATTGACTTAGGGAGGACATAAAAAGCTCAGTGTAAAACTGGGTTTTAATAGTAGCCTGTTTAAAAAACTTCGGGTTTTGTGGAACTAGGAATGAAGACACTTCTTCACCAGTCTCATAAAAATGTTGCAAGTATTTTATCCCTTATTGCTTGGCATGTTCTCCTGTTGGGGGTATTCTACAGGGCAGGTATTTGGCCTGTGATTCTCCCCAAACTCTTGTTCCCTGTAACAGGTCTGTGGTACAGATTCAGAGAATGCTAGCAGTAAGTTCTCAAGGTTTCCTAGTTTACAATTCGTTATAGTTTAGGTACCTGAAATCCATGTGAAATTTTGAAAATATTCGTCCAACCGACCAAAAAAATAGGAGAGAATTTGGGTACCATACAATGTTCTCTCAGGTGCCTTCTGAACTTTCAGGCTATTTGATGATGGTGACTGCCTTTTTTTTTTTTTAAATTTAAGGCACATATTTAAGTATTTTCTATCTTTAAGAAGACAGCCTTTGCATCTGATTCTCCACCCTTGTATTTTACTTTCAGCTTTTCTCTTCTTGTCTTATTGCAGCTTTGACAAGCTTGTGCTACTGAGATGATGATAACTTCCTTGATTTCTTACCGAAAGAAAAAGGTATTTCTCTCAGCAGAGCCCTTACAGGCTACACATGTAAACAAGAGAAAAAAAATTTACTTGTCTTTAGGACACTAGCAGAGCCTGCAGTGGTTGGATAATTGACTATTGGAAGCCTTGAGATATTTCTTTTGTTTGAGGAGGTGATGGTGGCTGGAGCTCCTTGGTGGTGTATGAAAATAGCCCTGGACTTCAAGGAGCTTGTTGTTTGTGTTAAATGGTGCTCACATAAATGCATGGGAGTTGTTACTCTGTTTTTACTATTCCAAGTGCCTCCCAAGATGAATGGTCTGTACTGCCATAATGTTTAAAAGTATGATTATTAGTCTTTTCTGGTCTTAGATGATACCAAATCTATCCCCTGAAAAATTACCTTGAAAATCCTGTTAGTACAAATGTTCTCATTTTCAAAGCCACCTCCTCAGGTTACAACTAAACCGAGCACCTGACTGGCAGCGCCACAGCTGCTGTAATGACACCTGCAGGTGTGGCCATGGGGATGTCCCTGTGCACAATCCATTTCGTGTGGCTCCTACTGAGCTGCCTGCCTTCCCTTGTTGTTTGTGTGTATTTTCCTCACCACTCACAGAGGACACAGTCAGACTTTTTAATAATGTGACACTGCAGCTATAAATCTGTCAAAATTGCAAGGGCATAACAAAGAGTAGATCTGACCAATGGCACTGTTATCTTTTCCTTTGTATTTCCCTGGAATTCTAGCTGACAGCGGCCCTTAATACAAATTCGTTATTTGCAAGGAGCCCTGTTTAAGCTAGCAAATTATTGTGCCAATGTGTGACACTAACCATGCTGCAGAATAAAGAGCAGTGAAGTATTTATGATGCTAAAATAATTTCAGGTCATGTCTTTTTTTTTTTTTTTTTCCCTTTGTGTAGTTTTGCTTTTATTACTAGTGCTGAAATGGTTCTTGCAGCGCAAGTGAGAAAACCAGACTGAACCTCCTGTTTTTTTGTTGGGCTCCCAGCTGGAAATGCCTCCCTCGATTTTCCATTGATAAAAGTGTCACAAAGGGAATCCAGAGCAGAGGAATAGGCGGAAATAGAACAATGCAAAGTCTTGGACTTGAATCACAAAGAAAGTTAACTAATGTAGATACAGTACTGGACGAGCTGCTGCTCCTTTCATGACCAGGTTCATTTACCTGTGGTCTTAGCATTTGTGGCTGCCCTCAAAGCTGTGTAACAAATCAGCTATTTATTCTCTCTTTGCTGTGGAGGCTCTTTAAAAGGATATTGCAGAGAATTTTCTTCTCCCCCTTCCTATGGACTGTTTTATTTGACCTTCAAGAATTCAGAGTCTCAACAGGGGCTAGAAAACTCACATACAAGAACGCTTTTATTGTTAATCTATAAAATATGTCTTTCACTAATAAAATAAAGATATGACATTTATAGAGCTCTGATAAGGAACATGGCAGTGGAAAAGGCCCAGGTCTCCTGCTGTTTAAATTAAGGGCAGCTGATTTTAGTGAGAGAAGAACCGGGCTTGTTAAATGTGCATTTTAACACGTGCACTCAGGTGTTCCAATAATGCTCAAAAAACTTCCAGGAGTATTTTGTGAGAATTGAGAAGTAACACCATAGAGAACTTTGTTCATTTAAGTGACTGAAGGTAATTGATGCTCCTTCAGAGGTTTTTAAGAGGGAAGATTACTTTAGTTTCATTAATTAGGTGATTAAGTTCATACTTTTCGTAGACTTTCTTAGCATTGTATCACTAAAACAATGGCTTCTGTATCACTGCTGTGTTTGACTGTTGTGTCAGGGTCAAAGAGCTGACATCATGACATTTGCCACAGTGTCTCTGTGGTCACCTCCTTGTCACGTGCTGTAGGCGAGGGTCTGCATGCAATGGTGTGACCAAGGGGCTTGGAAGCCCCTGTGGAAGAAAACTGGTGCAGGTCTGGTGCTGGGGGCAGCAGCGATGGTCTGTGACACAGAAGCTCAGTCCTGAGTGAGGCAGTGACCTGCTTTGCTGCAGTGGGAACAGCTGTGCTCGGCACCCCGTGCCAGTGCTCAGCACCCCAGACCAGATCTCAGCACCCCGTGCCAGTGCTCAGCACCCTGTACCAGTGCTCAGCACACAGCTTGTTGCAGACCTGGATCTCTGGAGCTTTGCTAAGAAGCACTGTGGTTGTCCTCTGACATACCTTCCCCTGTGAAAGGCTAAGCCCTCCTCTTGTCTTTCCCTCCTGTTCTTCTCCACTCTTTTTCCCTCTTCCCA